TTTTTCTTATTTTAAAATAATGAAACTGTACTTTGAGCTCAGAGACTGTGACTGAAATTGCACAGAAATCATTTGTTTGCTGATATATGTTGAGCTGTTTCAAATGTTTGATTTCAAATAATGTTGTTTTACATAGTTGCTCCATTTTTGCTCACTTGCATCTTGTAGTGCTAGCTAGATGGCTACATGCTGAAGTTCTGCAAGAAGAGCACTGACTGCTGTGTACATGAATACATGGCAGACATAAGAATGGGGGCCGGCTTAATGGTAAGTGGAACTGTGGGACGATTTGCAGGGCAAGTATCTCCTGGTATCACCTGAAAGCAACGCCAGGCTGTAGCACAAAATCAGCTCCCTTTATATTAATATGTTTTATTTGCCTAATTTGATTTAATTGATTATTGATCGAAGATGGCAGGTCACTGTTCTCGATGGTTACCATTAACCCCTGCATGGGATTATAGTGTTTCCCACAGAAGTAGACAGTGTTTGTGGGAGTAGCAGGAGGAGGCAACATGCAAAGTTTGATGGTGTGCTTCATCCTTGGTGAGCTTGATCTACACATTTGGACCTACTTTTACTGCTCAAAGGGAATCACCTGATGGTTTTAGTCCTCTCTCTAATACTAGAGTCTTTACTTACAATATAAACAATCAAAATTCAATGAAAGAGGTGCTCATCATTTTTATATATTCAAGTGCATAGTGTGGAAGATGTCATAGGGCTTTGAGGAAATCGTATGTAAAGCACAATATTTATGAGCGTTTTAAGTTGTAAATCAGTCAGATTTGACCCAAACACGACAGGAAGGTTAATTTTGTCCCACTGTAATCTCTTCAAGTCATTTGTCAGTAATGGCACAACAGCAGAGGTCTTTATAGAGTCCTTGTAGGGCGGTATCATGCTCATACTGCAACTCACCAGTGAATTATTTATGGCTGTAGAAGTCAGTTACATCTCTGTAACGGCTCGTTTTGACAGTGACCAGTTACTGTACACATTGATTGGGGTCTGTGCCGAACAACAGACCTCGACTTATGGAGCCAGTTATGAACTCTTCTTCTCTGTCAGCATCTCAGTAGATCCCTACTAAGGAGAGCCATTAAAACAACCCCCAGTTCATCTACGAACCTACTCAGCGCCATTCATACCGCCACCTGAAGCCAGCTGAGGCCTAAAGACATCTGTCATGGATTTCTTTTTTCAAAGAGCCATGACAAACACTCTTGACAGCCAGTAGTAAACACATGCTGCCAGAAATTTTCCAGGTCTCTAAAGAGATTCTCGAGCCGTTATAATCACATCAACAAAGCACTTAACAAATCTCCCAAAGCCCCGTCCCACTCATCCAGAGAGTCTTCCAATGTACAGTAGTGCTGGCAGCACTGATTCCAGAGCATGTTGTGCTGAGCTGTGTACACACTGGAAACGATTCACTCGTCGTGCATCGCTTTGAAGCTGCCAGCCGGTCGCTTGCTGACATTCCAGGCTCCCGTGACCTTGTAATGTATTTACTAGCAGGTTATACATGTCAATCACAGGTCGTCTTCACTCTCATTGACTTCAGTCACTAACCTGAAAGTTTATTGCAGGTCCGGTCCACTTTGCCTCACCAGCAGTTATTTCACATGCAATTGCATGAAGTTGCCAAATATCTTTCACCTTCTATGGTCTCTGGTCACCACGTTACTTCCAGTGTGGACTCGTCCCCTTTCTTTCCCTTTCTTACAAAACAGATTTTAGATGAGTAAGTACTTTTTGATTGCCAACATCTGCAGTTGTTAAAGCAGTAGATGATCATATGCAGCATGTAGAAGGTTGGAGCAGGTTTATGATGCTTTATATGCATCAAATGAGGAATCGTGTCTTTCATTTTATTCATTTTATTTAACATTTACACTCAGTATTTAATTTGTGTGAACTTTTTCCTATAAGTCAGCCGGCTCCTCTCTCTGCTCTAAAGACATGGTGCCCTCATCTGGTCACAACATCAAATTACAGCGTGTATCTGCATAACTGCTGTAAAAGTATGTCTTCCCCCCCCTCACACCAGTGTGACAGCTGGTGGGAGCAACTCTAACACACTCACTTCTTGTATTGGGCCAACCTTTATTTCTTTATACTTCCAAGGAGCCAGACTTTGTTATCATTTTTTTTTTTTAAGCTATCAGGTTTTTCAGTGGATATTGGCTACTTTTGAACAAATTTCCACTCCTTGTACTTGTACATTTTCAGAAAATGCGTTTTTTGTGTGAAGTCACTTAACAAACACCAAAGAAACTCAAGGGATGTCTACTAAATCTTTAGTTATTGTGTTCCTAACAGCCTAACACAAAACAATCTGTTGAACAGCATCTGGAAAGTCATGCTCTTAAGATCTAAGACAAGATATCTAGCAATGACCTGACACAGGATTTGGCATCTGGCTGTTCAGTTCTACTGTTGATCAAAGCCTCATCTGAGATGCTTTCAGTGGATCAGTGGCTGTCAAGAAGCCACTCTTTAGGAAGGGAAATGGGGAGAAAAGACTGAGGTATTCAAAATTACACAAAAACCGGACTGAAATGAAATGGCAACAGGTGGTATGGAGAGCTGAAAATATTATTTTTGTTTTATTTGTCATCATTATATATGCAGGATGTCAGGAGAGAGGTACAAGGCACAAGAGTATCTACAGTCATCTGTAAAACATGAATAAATCTGTCTTATGTCAATATACTCTACCGCTACTATTAGCCTGAATGTACAAATCCTATTACACTTTTTTAGGATAGAAGTATAACTTTGTAATAATGTAACAATTTAAAGAAAGAAGAAACTCTGGATTAAACAAAAAAAAGAGGGGGAAAAAAACAAGGAAACGATAAGTAATAAATTATTAATAAACGTCACAACACTGACAAGGAATGGTGACAGCTGGATGCTAGCAAACATCTGTATTTAGCGAAACAACAGGTTACTCTGGCAAACCAAAAAAAGTACGACCAAGAATAACCTTCATACATTAGAACATAAATATATAATGTTTTTAAAAGCACAAACTACACGAATAAGAATAAAAAAGGCTGACTCCGTCACACCTGCTCCAGAAATGTCTGATAATTAGGTCAACAACGTCACTGCACGATTCAACCGCAAGGGGGCAAACTAGGCTTTTCTGATGAGGGCGCTCTCCCTCAAATAAACAATGATACATCATATGTATGTGTGTGTGTGTGTGTGTGTGTGTGTGTGTGTGCGTGTTTGTGTGTGTGTGTGTGTGTGTGTGTGCGTGTTCCGGTCATTTACTGTCCCTCAGGTTGGGGTATGTTGATACATAGTGAGCAGCCAGACATGAGCCACCTTCTTCTCCCAGGAGTTTTGTTTAGCTCACTGGAGTTTGGACTTAAAGAGTTTGGTTTGTGGCATCTTGCATAAAAGGAAAGCCAGAGGTTGGAGAGGACAACCTTAATGTAGACATTACATATGAACCTTATTTAGTTAAATGATTTTCATATTGTCATTGTCCCTTTAATCAGAGTGAATTCAGGAGGGAGAACGTAAAGCAGGCCATTATCCCCTTATGATAGTTTGCTTTGTAGCTCAGTGTACATGGGTGAATATGGATGCACAAAAAGTGCAGTTGTTTACTGTGGAGCACTAAGGAACATGGAAGGTTATCAACAGCTCATATGTATATTTTTTGTATAATTGATATGAATGATCCCACAGTTCTGTTGTAATGACTTCAAACTATATATGTGCCCTTGTCAAGACGATGGGTCAGATTGGGAATCAAAAGGGGAAGAGGAGGATTGAGAGGAGCCTCATCCTAAATACTTTGGCTTATATCCTTTTTGTTAATCTAAAAGGACCTGAAAGTATCAATGAGCTGAACATGCATTTGGTGATGCATAAATAGTAAAGTGACTGTTCTACTTCAGCACTAAAAGCACAACATGTTTCATTCATAAAAGCTTTTATTCTCCATCCAAGTGCTTTCTATGTGACATTCACAATAACAAATGCACCAGGAATAACTCAGGGTTATTTGTATATAAAGGCACCAAATCTCAAACTAGAGGTTTATTTGCAAGGTTCAGTGTTGATGACAAGCAGTCGACCATGAACTGTAAGTATAGGAAAACAACGTCCTCAGACTTGATTTTGGAAAAGTATCTTCACTTCTGCTCCTTTATGATGAAATGTTTCAGTCCACAAAAAAAATAAAATATCCACCCACGCTGTGTATAGATTCAATTTCATGTTGCCATTTTGCCAAAAAAAAACCCCAAAACAAGGTTTTGCGAAACAAAAAACGTGATCACTTTGTGTACAATTATCAAGTGTTCAGGGAGTTACAAGTGTTTTTCCTTTGATAGTGCAGGATGGTTGTTTCTGTCCTGATGTGCAAGTGATAGCACTCAGGCTAGCTGCAGAGCTGATGCATTTGTCTGCAGGTCAGAGTGACCTGCTGGGGGTAACAAGCAAGGACACACACACACACACGATTGTCACAATACATGCCAGGACAGACCAAGGAATAGAAATCTACTCCTTGTTAGAAGGGTGCTCTTGTGGACCCAATAGATCCACAGCGGGTCTTCTGGTGCACTTTTTGGGTCCTTTTAACTCCGTGCCATCAGGAACCGTTTTACAGCGATTTTAATATTTTCTCTAGAAATCCAACTACTGACATAGTCTGAACAATACGTTCAAATTAAAACTCAGAGGAAAGTGAGTTTGCCGAGAAATTATTGGAGTGTCCCCTTACAACACGACCACAGCTGAACCATGACTCAGCAGCTTGAGTCGTCTAAACAGATTTCAGCCAAGACTTAAGAAAAAAAAAGTCTCCAGAAAGTAAATGGCCCAGTCTCCCGTCCCCCACAGGAAGCAATTGAGATGTTTCAACTGATCTGACTCAGGACATCATTTTGTAGGCAGGGCGTTTACGCACAGCTCTTAACTGCGTCACGTTTTCTTTAATCTGGGCAGAGCAAGGTGTAAGTCATCCAGGCTAATACATACAATGACACAAGTGTTTACAATAACTGGACTCTGTCACCACTGTATTGTGTCAGAAATGTCCTGTAAGCACTTCCTTCTACAATTTAAAACCAAAACAAACAGTCGTTTGGAAATAAGCTCGAGTAAGATTGTGTTCTCTGAGTGGATCTTTGCATCAGGAGCAATTTCGCCCCCCAAAGAGTAGTTTAGCATCACATCATTTACTCACTAGAGGGCACCAAGTCTACATCCATAGACACAAGCGTTGGCTTTTAATAGTACCTCACAACTGGGAGATGAAGTCAAGACAGAAGACAAGATTTCAATTTAATTTATTTAAGAAAACGTTCAGCTATGTCTTCTTGCTGCACCTGTTGGTAGGAGAGACACTTTAGATACCAGCCAGATATAAACAGAACAAAGTAATGAGATACTCACCTTCTAGTATCTTGGACGTAGCTTGATTGTCATCCATTTGGCACGCGGATGCTCAGATTTTCTTGGGTTGAGATATTCCATCTGCTGTGGGGGAGGTGTGGTAGTTTGTGGCACCTGCTCGACCTCTTTGTCACCAAGCCGTCTGATAGCATAGCCTCCAAAGTGTTCAGGGACCTCATAGATCCTGCTGTTACTTCCATAGGCAGGCAGACTATGAACTTCCTGGGCTGGATTCCTGATTCCCCATGGTGCTTGAAGAGGGTTGCTACTGGTGGGCCTCCGCTCTGCGAAGGTGTAGCTGGGTTTGTAGCTCACCATCATGTTCGAAGTGGAAGACGGCATGTAGCCTACTTGGATGTTCCCAGTATTTGCAGGAAGCCATGTGTTTCCGTATGATTTCCTAAAGCCATGGACGGCGAAGTCTCTAGCAATACTTAAAGGTTCAGATTTATGTTGAGTGACCCGTTTTGCAGGAGCGCTTGCTGATGTTTGCCCCCGTACAGCTGCACTGGCAGGTTTCTGTGCTACAGAATGCTGAGAGGCTGGTTTAAACAAGGAGCTTCGTGTAAGAGTTTGAAGAGATGCAGCACTGCTGGAGCCAGCCTTACTAGTTTGGGGTGCACCACGCTGAAACGGCCAAGTCATTTCCTTTTTGCTATCAGGAAGGCTGTTCTGGTTTTGACCGAGTCCATTCAGCGAGTTCCCACTTGCAACAGAAAGGCTAAAAGAGGAGCGGTTTGGCACCTCCAGAGCATTAACGCCCTTCACATTTGTGTACCAGTTAGGTTTTGTCACCAAGCTGCTCTGCACTAACCTTACCAAGCTTTGGGCTGGTTCTGAAACAGTCTGTTTATAGCTGCTAGCAGAAAGCCTTTCACTATAGCCTCTGTTAACTGTAGTTCCTGTGCTGAGGCTACTGCTGTGAGCTACTCGTGGAGAAATGAAGGCATGTCTGATTTGATCCTGGGAATAGCTGCCATCTAGTCTTCTTAGTCTACCATCTTGCTGTGAAAAGCCAACATATCCGTTAACGTTGTGCATCTGGGGGCTATATGCTGAGAAAGAAATAGAGTGTAAGCCCACTGTGGTAATCAATCACAGCACTAAAATAACTTAAACATATAAATTCCCCACTTACTTCGTGTAGCCCATGAACAGCACACATGCTCTGCTTGAACTAAGAAAATCAGCAATATCCTGCTCAGAAGCAAAACATCAAGGTCAGGAGAAATGGGACAACAACAAGGTTAAGAATAGCTGCAAAGTAGAGCCTTACCCCAAACCAGCTCCACAAGCCCTTCCAGATTTCCAAAGCATGCTGCCTTACTCAAAGCAACAGTAACACAAACACTCTGAAGCTGCTCACTCTGCATGTGTGTGCCGCAAAGAGGTGACATTTCTTGCAACCTGTATCCAATCACTGGCTAATGAGCAGATTGTTTACAGCTGCTGTTGTGCTGCTGTCAGGCTGAATGCTGGAGATTGTTCCAGAAAGCAGGTCTGACAAAGTCTCATCCTGAAGTCAGAGTCGATTAACTCATTTTTTGGTTACAGATGATCGGTTAGCTCAGTCGACTGTAACTTTGTTCACACAGAGTTACGTGTGTAGGGGTAGTGGAAAAAACCCCATCATCATCACCATAGCAACTGGGAAAATATAAAACTGAGCCTTGAGTTTATAAATCATTTTGGGGCTTTTTTTCACCTTTATTAGAGAATTTTTGTAAAGATGAGACAGGAAAGTGGAGAAGATGTGCAGCGAAGGGACTCAGAGGGGTCAGAACCAAACCTGGGCTGTTATATTGAGATAGACCTTCTGGTCATCTGCTCAACCACTAAGTTAAATCAGCATCCCACAGAGCCTTAGGTTTATTTGGGGGAATAAGGAACACGAGTGTCAGTGTGAATTATAACATTTTTCTAAAATAAATAAATAAATAAAAATGGAGGGGAGCACTTTCCTTTCGCATCATCTCAGTCATCCTAGCTTGAATCTTTTATTAATAGACCAAACTGGAAATCCATCAAATCTTCACATTTATTTTTCTTGTAAATCTCAATATATTTTTATTATGCTTTAACCTGAAATAGAGAAAATGCAAATGAAACCAACTGAATGTAGCCCTATGGATCAAACAGATACATATAGAGCAGCTCAATTTATATAGCTCCTCATATCTAGAAGTTTACTTACATACAGCATCAAATCACAACATCAGTCAATGAAGGTGCTTTATAAAGTAAGATGAAGACCCTACAATATTACAACAGTGGAAAGGAAAAACTCTCTTTTAACAGGAAAGAACGTTTTACAGAACGAGGCTCAGGGAGGGGAAGCCACCTGCTCCTGATGGGAGAAAGAAGGATGAAAGGCATACTGTGGAAGAGAGCCATCCATCCCGTCAGGGTCATGGGGTGTTGGAGCCTATCCCAGCTGCCATAGGGCGAGCAGCAGGGTACAGCCTGGACACATCACCAATCTGACACTGGGCTAACGCAGAGAGACAGATAACCATTGACATCTATGGGCGATTTAGAATCACCAGTTAACATGACCCCGCTAACTGCAGCTCTTTGGACCGCAGGAGGCAGCCGGAGAGAACCTCAGAAAGGCCCGAGCCAGGACCTCCTTCCTATAAGGCAATAGTACTAAGCGCCACATCACCATGATGCCCAAAAGAGTGTCAGAGATTAATCATCAGCAATAATGATTAAATGCAGCACAGTGAGTGAAGAAGAAATACTCATCGTATGATTTTCAATCAGCCTCTAGGCCCAGGCTCCTCCAGCAAGGCACCAACAAGTAAACTGACACTGACTTCAACGGGCCACCACAAGGTAACACCAATCTCAACATTTTCAAAAAGGCAAACCCAGGAGTTGAAGAGGAAATCGCTTAATTTCATGTCTGATGAACTGAGCAAAGTGGCTAAACAACAGGGTATGCTACATGACAGGATGAGATAAAACAACTAAAAAACTTGATAAACAAGAAGGACAAGAAAATAGATAACTTGGAACGGCAAATCGAGGACCTTGAACAATACACAAGAATGGATGACTTAGTGATAAGTGGACTGGAGACACAACACCGAACCTAAGCCAGAGTAACAGCTGGCGGAGGTAAAGACGGTGAAGATGCCCCAGTAGAGGAGCTGCATCACATCATTTACTCACTTGAACAGCAAGTATTAAAATTCCTTCAAACGAAGAATGTAAGTATTCAGAACCATCATATCGCCGCATGCCACACGCTCCCCAGAAAAGACAGTAAAACAAAGCCATCAATTATTCTTCGGTTTGTGAGTCGCAAAACAAAGATTGAGTTACTGAAACAGGGAAAGAAGCTAAAAGGGACTGGTGTGTATTTAACTGAACATTTAACGAAAAAGACTGCTGAAATTGCAAGACAGGCAGCCTGAAACAAAATAAGATACAAGCGACATGGACGAGGAACTGCAAAGTAATGAGACTAAATGGCAATCCCGAAGAAGCGAAAGTTGTGATGATAAGAGAAATCAAAGACTTAGAGCAATATAAATAATCAGGAATCTACTATAGAATCTATTGGAAAAGTGACGATTGGATAATGAACAATGGGTATGGAAAGTGTTTCTGGCCTTACGGCTCAAGAAAACAACAACAAAAAAAACACATAAATGACAAGTTTGGACACAGATTATAGGTTTCCATTCAGAGATATTGAAGAGGAAGACATTGATTATGAAAAGGACTGTCGAGGTGGTTATTTTGACACACGCGGAGAAAACGAACTTCAAAACATTTAACTATGCAGAGCATAACATGCATGACCCTGAAAGTAACACTGACCCAGATAACCACTTCTACAATAACAACAATAGTACTTGTGAGTACTATACAGATGACCAATTCAATATGAATATTAAAATGGCAAATGCGTTGTCGGTCATACATTTCAATAGTAGAAGCCTGTATAAAAATTTTCTAAAGTTACAGAATGTTTAAGTAAGTTAAAAAAGTTTAATATAATTGCAATATCAGAAACATGGCTCGATAATGAGAAAGTTAGTGAAATGGGACTGGAAGGATACCAATTATTTACAATGAACAGGGTGAATAAAAAAGGAGGCGGTGTTGCTTTATATATAGATAAAGTTTTGAAATGTAGTCTGATTGAATGTATGTCAAGCACCATAGATGACGTATTGGAATGTGTTACTATTGAAATCCATGTTGAAAAAGCCAGCAATATAATTATAAGTTGCATCTATAGGACACCAGGTTCATGCCTTTCAATGAAAAACTTGCTGCTATGTTTAGCAACCTAAATGATAAAAAAAAAAAAGGCAAATGGCCTGCATTTGTATAACGCTTTACTAGTACCTAAGGACCCCAAAGCGCTTTACACAACCAGTCATCCACACATTCACACACTGGTGATGGCAAGCTACATTATATACAAACTAACTAACCGACTGACTAATTTTCTGCAAACAGTAACATTTAACTTACCTGCTCTATTAGGCAGAGAATTCACCTCTCCGTGTCGAGCTTGACCTTGACAACCATCATATAAGTCTTGTTGGCCTTGTTAACATTATTAACGATGCCTCCTCTACCCCCTGACGCTGAAAAGACCCAGGCGGCGGTAATGATGCGGTCGACTATAACTGTGACAAACGACACACGAAGATCAATGTGCTTCCACCTTCTGTTTGCAGGTTATAAATCAGGCGCTGCAATACCAGCACCACAATCTCCATATCAGAGATTTCAGCTTCATTCTGCTTCTGCTTCTTTTGTACATGTGACTGCACAGAGTGATAAGCAGAATGCATGTTAGATTTGCATGTGAGTGCGATATCATCAGCGTCCTCTGTTTTTCTGACTGATCTGTGACCATGTGGGAGGCTCCGCAGGAAAATGACCTTTTATACTGTGAGTGTAGGACACACACACGCTAAGGACACACTCCCTGGTAGTCTGACAGGTGTGAATCTTCATCCCTGACTGTGCTTAGTCAATAGTGATGACAATTCCCTGCAAAGACAAACGAATCAGTCACTTTGTCCTGCTGTCCATCACGTGCTTCATCAAACACTTCTTAAGCCTAGCTTTAGTCAAATTTAGAGTCCCTTTTTTCATCTTTTAGGGACTTGAGTGTCCAATATTCTCTATGAGTCACAGCAGTGATAGCAAATTTCCTTGTCTCCACTCTAGGAAAGAGTGACACTTCGCATGCGATGACCAGATGAGTGTGGTGGCTTAGATCAAAGACACAATTTCCTGTCAGAGGAAATAGCCCAGAAGAATTTTTTTCAGGAGCAGTTTCCTCTTTTCTGAATTCTTTCCATTTATGCCTATCAACATTCATATGAAAGTCCTCCGCTGGAATCCTTCCCCGATGACAAAGGTGTCATGATGACACAGAAGGAATGCTTTAAAAAGAAACCTACGCGTGACATTAATCAAACTGTAAATGAGAGCTATGCTTCAACGTAGGTGACTCTTCTCTCCTTGGGGATAGTCACTCTTGCTCAAAATTCTGCCGGCATCGGGTCTCACACTCTTATATTTTCTGCCTTAATGCCGATTTCTACAGAGCAGGGTGTTGTAGCAAATGAAAGGCATCGTTCGGTCTCCGCAGACCCCTGACCTGTAGATGATTGGCACACAGACTCATTTTAGAAGCCTCTCTCCTGTAAAGGTTACACTGTGTAAGGTTTCACTTTGCTCATGAGCTCCGTGCTGGCTAAGACAGATTAATATCTGCGTGTGCAGGACCACAAAAAGGGGGTGTGGTGGAGGAGAAGGCAAGCACAGCATCCGTATCTAATTTATGTGCAGAGCTATGCAGGATATGGGGACTTTTGTCAGAAGGGTCAAACCATGCAACGCCTGCTGAATCAGAAACTTTTGTTAAAAACAAAGATAAAGATACTCAAAAGTGAACTGTGTGTTTCTCTGAACTGTGCATTGCTCTTGTGTGGATGCTCCACTGAGCATTTGTAGTAGCAGGACAGTGTATGTGAGATTAAATCCAATTAAAATGTATTCATGTTATTTAGGAAAAAAGTAGATTTTTTGTTCTTATAAAACAAAAAATTATGTTTTTTATAAAACTAGAGCTTCATGGCGTTGAGGAATAATAAATTATGGACTGCTGCAGGGGGAGTCTATCCCAGCTGTCATGGGGTAAAAGGCAGGGTACACTAAAATGGACAGGTCACCAGTCTGTCGCACTGTCACAGACAGCCGTTAACACCTATGATCTATTTAAAATCATCACTTACCCCAAACTGCATATATTTAGACTGCCAGAAAAAGGTGGAGAAAGAAAGGGAGAGCATGCAGAGCCAGTGGATTGCTGTTGAGTGATGGTGCTAACCAGCGTTCTTCCAAAATC